CTGGGGGAGCGGGGAGGGGTATGTTGCTGGGGAGGAGGTAGGGAGAGGGGAAGGGAGACTGAGAAAGAAAACAAAGGAGTCACGCAAGTGTTGATCACTGGGTCACACACAGAACCAGCTGACAAGTTGTAGTTATACAAACGGCCACCAGTAAGCGCCCAGCAAACTCACAACGTCAATTTTACAAAAGTTTCACGTGGTAACAACGCTGAAAACGTTGAGGCTACGTGTTGGTCACGTTCCTGGGAGGTGGCCGACCACACCATGAGAACCGAGCGCTGTAGCCAAGATGCTTCTCTCTCTCTCTCTCTCTTTCAGGGGTTACAATATTATTTACAGGGGTTACAATGCCCCCCCCCCCTCCAGAGCGAGGGGCGCGAGCCTTGACACCCCACACAACCCCTCACTCCACGCACCTAACACACATGTAACACCCAATGCCGCTCGGAATTAATGTGGGAGTTTCTGTCGCTTGGCTGCAAGTTAGAGAAAATGTGTCGTGTGGATTCACCTAGTTGTGCTTGCGGGGGTTGAGCTCTGGCTCTTATGGCCCGCCTCTCAACTGTCAATCAATCAACTGTTTCTAACTACAAATTTTTTTCACACACACACACACACACACACACACACACACACACACACACACACACACACACACACACACACACACACACAAAGCAGCCCGTATCAGCTGTCTAACTTCCAGGTACCTATTTACTGTTAGGTAACAGGGGGCATCAGGGTAAAAGAAACTCTGTCCATCTGTTTCCGCCGGCGCCGGGAATCAAACCCGGAACTACAGGACTACGTATCCAGCGTGCTGTCTACTCAGCCACCAGCTCCCTGTGGTGTGTGTGAGTGTGATTTTAGCGGTACCTTGGGGGAAATGGGTGTCCACCTGGCATGCGTAATCCATATCATATGAGTTATGAAATGGTGGAAACGATGACAAGACAGTTGGGTGATTATTGGTCGGTAGAGGGGGAAGCAGCTGCGTCTAATGGCTATGGTTACCACGAAGCTGTACAGGGGGGGGGAGGGGAGGGGAAGAGGTCTGCAACAGATGTCTTGGATGTCGCAGTTATCGTAACTCTGGTTTATGTTATTGTTTGGTGACGTCTTTTGGCGCTCTTTTTCAACCCAAGTTGAGAGAGCGCCATGTCAAGCGCGGTGGTGAAGATCTCATATATCACCTGTGTGGAAGTGTATCTAGAGAGCGTGCCGTTGTGGCTTTAGTTCATCGCTGTATATCTAAACAAAGTCATACATAATACACACAAGTTCTTCTATTGAAATCCGATGGCACAACACTCTTCCGTCTGTCCCATACTCTGTATGTTTAAACGGTGCCATACAAGCTGCAGAAGATGTACAAATGTGGGCCGCCGGCACGTTACAACACTCACACTTCCATACTGAGTACGCATGTATGTCCATGCCAATATACTTGACTGCACCGCTATCAACTTCACGCTTGGCAGTGTTCCTTGCGTGAGAAACCTCGCTCTTCACGGAATGTATATTGTAAACACGGTGGTGAAGCAACCGCGTTCTTGTCTGTCCTCTGTGACGCTAGCTAGCTGTCCGTTACCAGTGCTCCACACATTTCCTTTTCGTCATAAATGGTGTTCGACACCAACGGTACTCGACACCCGTGGTGTTCGATAACACTGATGGTCGACACCCGTGGTGTTCAACACCAAGGTGCTCCCAATCAACGGTGCTCGACACCAACGAGGCTCAACACCAGCGGTGTTTCTAACACAATTGCTTTTGTGTTGTGTATGTCCTATAAACATCTGGAGGTTTATTAAGGCCTATCGACCTCTGGAGGGTTATTAAGGCCACCAAAATACTTTACTGACCAGCCAGCAAGAGCAACTTTAGTCCCAAACATAGTTCAGTACTAAAATACACTCAGTGTATGTACACACAAGAGAATATACACACCTCTCGCTGTGTATATCCCCGCGTCTGACTGATGGACCTTTCAACGACAATTCTTTAACAAGAATCTCCCATTGGAATGAGTATGGTCAAAGACCTGAGAAAGGTATGTACCCTCCAGGTCATCGGTACACTTATAAACAAACTTAACCAATGCTATCCTACCGGTCTCCTGCCTCAGCCCTGTGGACGGGAGGACGTCAGGACACGTGCTCCGCCTGGAGACCACAGGAATACGTGCTCCGTGTTCCTGGGGAGTCTTTTATCGCCCGGGGTCTCGGCCAAATTGATCGATTTTGACGCTTTCTGGCTAGTTTTTCGGACGGGAGACGGTGTCCCGCTGCTGGTGTGTCCTCGGGGCGTGGTGGGTATCTAGCTCCACCTTTGCTAGAAGTCACTGGAAGACGTTTGTACCCAAGTGGGCCAGAGGTTAGCAAGAGTCATCTCGCTTGTGCTGTGACTTTGTCTACAGTGTTTTATGTGTGAGGCGGGGACCTGCACCTGCCTCCCTGGGGCTCCCCAAACATCTGCCCACCGGTGTGTTATCCGCCTCAAGCTGCGTGTGTTTTAGCCTATTATAATATATTAACACCACGTTAATACAGCCACAAGGCTGTGTGTTCTACCCTTCAAGGGAACACTGGGGGACATCCAGCACCTCTACCGTCGAGGTAGAGCACCTCTCTACCTCTACTAAATCCTAAAAAGTGGCTCCTAAATCCCACAACTACTACCACCTATCTTCACCTAACCTATCCTCATCTACGCTAACCTATCCCAGCATGTGCCTAACATATCCTAACTTATCCTAACGGAGGTAAAGAGATTATATGTTGCTTTATATATGATGTGGATAAGGTGTGCCATCCCCGTGACGTCACACATCATATATATATAACACAACATTTAATCTCTTACATTTAATGGGTATAACCATTATGACGTCACTATGACGTAACAATGGTCATACTGGTACAGGTCTTAGACCCTTACTGCATGAAAGTTCACACAAGTAATGAACTAATGTTCCCCCCCCCCCCCTCTATTACGACAAATTATAATACATAAATTTCAGATTACGGAAAGAAATACATAAGGGGAATTCAAAATGGGTATTCAAAAAATTAACCGAGGCACTGTAGTCACAATACCTTAGCGTGTATAATTAATTTGAGTTCTTCAAAATCTAATTTCATATTCTATTTTTACACAGTTTGTTTTACTGGCGAGTTTCAGCACTCTAATTGTAAGCTGTAAGTTCTCACGCCTGTACACCTGTTCACTCCAGTCACACCTCTACACCTGTTGTCACACGTCGACACCTGTTGTCACACCTCTACACCTGTTGTCACACCTCGACACCTGTTGTCACACCTCGACACCTGTCTACTCCAGCCACACCTCGACGCCTCTAATGATATGCATACATCACCTACGAATAAAGTTTCTAAGATTAAACTATGGAGTGGATGTTCGTCCCTCGTCTAGTTTCTCCATGTTTGTGTTAGTTAACAAAGGAGCAGCAGCAGGAGCAGCAGCAGGAGCAGCAGCAGGAGCAGCAGCTGGAGCAGCAGCTGGAGCAGCAGCTGGAGCAGCAGCTGGAGCGCTGTGTACTCTGGAATTGTTTTTCTACATTTGTGATAACTCATTAGATGAGGCAGGGCTGGCGAGAGTGTGGGCACGTCCTACACATCTGGTGAAAGCTGGTTTGTGTGGCGTGTTGTTCTACACGGGTGTAGTTCTTAGTGTGTGGGGGGTGTGGGGGTGGGTGTGTGGGGGTGGGGGGGAGGGTGTGGTAGTAGGGATGATGGTGGTTGTAGAAGGTGATGGTGGTGATAAGGGTGATGGTGGTGATAAGGGTGATGGTGGTGATAAGGGTGATGGTGGTGATAAGGGTGGTGGTTATGTTGGTGGTAATTTGTTCAATGTCAGCTAGGGTAGTTAACAAATGGAATACACTAGGATGTGTATTCCTAGTGCCTTCCAGGGCGGAGGCAGATTCCATACATAATTTGAAATGCAGATAAGACAAAACATAGTAGGCTCCGGCCTGTACACCTGTTGATTGACAGTTGAGAGGCGGGACCAAAGAGCCAGAGCTCAACCCCCGCAAGCTCTACGTGAGTATATTAAGTGAGTACACACACACAGGTTACCGGTTCATCTATTTTTATTTTACTATCCAGAGAACACTATGAAAACGGACGTAGCAAGTCTTGGTTCATTAGACGATTAGAAAGGCGGGGTCCAAGAGCTAACAGCTAAATCCTGCAGACACAAATATTAAGCACAAGCACACACAGACATCACACTAACGTGATGCATCAAATGAACAAATCCACAAAGGGATTAAGGCAGTGTCTGGGATGCTCCCGGACGCAGGTTCGAATCCTCGTCATGGCCCTTGTGGATTTGTTCATACACAAGCATTTCAAGCCATTAGCCCCAAACCTCTCACGCATAAAGCCTTCAACCACTGTCATTAATCTCTTGTCATACGGGCCGCTTTCTCTCTCTCTCAAGATGGTGAGAATTAACTCATGTTAGATACAATTATGTTTCTCCCTGAAATTTGCTCGGCTCCACCAAGAAAACATCTTTCACACAGTACTTTTTAATTTGCTTATGTATGGACTCCTTATTTTCGTCATGCTTTTAACTTTTTATGTTAAATCTTGTAAGCAATAGAATGAAAACAATAGTAGGAATACTAGAAAGGAAAGTACAATGATTTACCATTATATGGCAGAGAGAATTTGCAAAAATTCTCATTTACACCTGATACATTATGTACCTGCCCGAAACGCTGCGCGTACAAGTGACTTTACAAGATTGTAAATACTATGCTATGTATTCTCTCTAACCCAATGTACCTTTTTGTATATAAATAAATAAATAAATACCTGAATATACCTGAGGATCATACTATCTCTTGGGGCTTCGACGGTGCAGCCAGGAGCTCGTCAAAGGTCCCCTCCTATTATACTCATACTCATTACCCTACATAATGATCCCAGCATCCTCCCTTAACCGGTACCTTGTGTGTGGGGCAGGACCCGTGGACCCCAACAAGCTCGAGGGAGAGGAGACGTCTGCAGGCCAGGAGGACAGCAAGAAGGACTCCGCCAAGGAGAAGAGGAGCAAAGGTAGTCGGATGGGAGGTGGCTCACCCTTCGCCATGGACAACCGCGACCCTAACAACCTCAACCCTCACATTCAGGTCAGTGGATGGGGGGGCATGTGGGGGGTGAGGTTGGTCTCGGGGTGGAAGCTGGCAGGTGGGTGAAGTGGGACCGGCCAGACCACTGTACAGCTTCAGGATCAGCACCACTATACATCATCATGGACAGTAGCACTATACAGCTTCAGGGCTAGCAGCACCATAGAGTATCAGGGACAGTAGCACTGAACAACTTCAGGTCCAGCTTCACTATATAACTTTAGTCCAGCAGCACCATTCAGTTTCAGGACCAGCTGCACTGCACAGCTTCAGGGGCCAGCAACATACACAGCTTCAGGGACCAGCAACACACATACAGCTTCAGGACCAGCAGCACGATACAGCTTTTAGGACCCAAAGCAGCACTTGTCAGGCGTATAGAGGGTGGAGTGGGACACGGTAGGAGCACTCTAGGCTCTGTACATGTGAAGTGGGCGAGGTGCTTGTGATGGGTTGACTGCCTCTTGAGTGTCACCCTTCCTCCTCCCACCCCCTTGCCTACCCTTCACCCTCTCCTACCTTCCTTTCCTTTCATCCCGGCCCTCCATCCCTTACTCCACCCCCCCTACTCTTCCCCCCCTTCACCTCCTGTCCCCCTTCTCTCTCTCTCTCTCTCTCTCTCTCCCTCCACCCCCTGCCTACTCCACCCTCTCTCTTCCCTTTACCTTTTCAATTCAGAATTCCGGAACCGTTTTTATGGGTGAAATTAGAGGTTATTTGGCAACTGTTTTTGCAGCCGAATTCTACCTGCTATTTTAGACCCTCCACTATTGTATTCCCTTCATTCTGATGTATCTCCGTCCCCCTACTGCATCCCCTCTCCCCTCCACCCTACTGTATCCCCTCTCCCGCGATCATTTCCTTCCGAGGTTGAAACGTAACGAGAGAAAATAAATCTGAAAGTGCTGTCTGTGTCGATTTCTTACTGGCTGTGTTGCCTTCTTTTTTGTAGCTCTTTCGTCACGATCGACCAATACAGAAAAGCCTTTGGAGGTCCGCAAGTTGCTATTGGCTGATGAACCTCGCGCTGGACAACCGTCCCGCGCTCCCAGATAATGGCGGGAATTCATATTGTTTTCCTTCTCTCTCACATTCTTCCTCTCACTCACATTCACTCACAGAACTTGTTTGGCCACAGAGCTGTTGAATATTGGATTGGCTGTCAGAAAATGAGTCCTTTTTTTTCTTTTTCTGTGGGGGAGGAAGGTGTGTGTGGGGGGGGGGGTGTAGTAGAGAAGATGGAGAGGTGTAGATGAAGGAAAAGGTTATGGAAAAGTGGAATATAGTGTTATAGGACGCGCGGGCTGTCCGCCTTGCTGACACGGTGTGTGTGTGTGTGTGTGTGTGTATGTGTATGTGTATGTGTATGTGTGTGTGTGTGTGTGTGTGTGTGTGTGTGTGTGTGTGTGTGTGTGTGTGTGTGGGGGGGGGGGGGGGGCCAGCTGTTTTGTCTGTCTTCCCCACTTACTCCCTCTCACACTAATTCTCTTCCACATTCACTCTTTTCTCCTGAATAACCTCTCTCCTCCCCATTCCCCCTTTCTCCCTCTCCCACCCCACATCACTTCCCCCTTCCACCCATCACCTTCCCGCCCCTTGCCTCCCTCACCTTCACCACTCATCACCTCACCATTCTCCTCACAACTTCCGGTGCTCGCTTTATGCACGACGCCCAACAGAGATGAGCAACTGTCTCCCCTATCTAAAGTGTACATCTTTGATTTTCTTTCATCTCTTTCTTCGTTCCTAATTTATTGCTTTGTGCCTATTTCCATGTTCTGTGCCTCGATTTCCTTATTCTATGCCTCTTACTAATATAATAATTGTGTATAATCCCCAAATTAGTACAAATTGTGATATAAAAATGACCCCAAGACTGCATTAGGCTATAAGTACATTATAAATATAAAATATATACAATTCTAGGATTATGTTGATAGATCATGTCATCTGACAGGTCATATCTGATGGTGATTTATCTGAAGTCAACGTTTTGCGCCCAGAGCACCAAATGCCTATCATGGTAAACCTCCTCCGGTGTACAGTTAACTGAGTAGTCACGTCACGTCGCTGTACCACATGTCAATCATGATGCATGTCAATCATGACACACGTCAATCAGATCTTTGTCGTACAAGCAACTGTAGAAAACGCTATGGCAATATTTCACACTAGAATGTGGAAATATGTATACAGCTAAGTGTTAATAGGTAGTACTTACCTCAATGTTGTTGTAGAGGTGATAGTTAATGTTGTTTAGCTCCAGTGCGATGTAATATCACTTGTTGTATGGCTCTCGTGCGATGTAATATCATCTGTTGATGTTTGGCTCCCTGGCGATGCAATGATCACTTGTTGATGCTTAGCCCTGTGCGATGTAACACCTGTTGAAGTTAATTACATTTAGTCCCATGCTATGCAATTATCACCTATTGATATTTTTAACACCCATGCGATGCAATTATCATTATTAACGCCTTGAACTAGCGATACGCTCATCCAACCCGTCCTCTCAGGTTGTCCCAACATCACAAAACTGATGTGCTAAATTACCCGAACCGAACCTAACCGAGGACCCACGAACTGAAAACGTGAGAGGCTGTCAATTTGGCGAGCCGCTATGATTTATAGTACACCATATTTTGGCTGTTGGGAATATTATATATATATATATATATATATATATATATATATATATATATATATATATATATATATATATATATATATATATATATATATATATATATCAAACTGCTATGTATTAGAGAACAGGTTGGACACACAATTCAAGATATACGAAATACTATGAAAATCAGTGATCATTTTAACCATAATTTAACCATAATTTTGTTGATTTTCCGTATATTGAAAAAAACGTACGCGCGTCAAAACTAAAAACCGGACCGTAACGCTCTCAGGAAACTTACTATAACTCGTTCTCTCAGTTAATAGGTCGTTTTTTTAACGTTACCTTTACCAACGTTATAAATGCAACCTGTTTAAGAATAGTAACGACTGACGTATACAATCTCCATACAGCGGACTCGATAGGCTATGCAGGTTGCTTGGTTTCGTACACTTGTAGTTAGGCTAAAAGGTAGGATTTTTTGTACGAAGTGGCAGACGAATAATAATAAATGTTATTCACAAGAAGGTACAATGGAATTATGAGATTACATAAGATTTCATGGGATTAACGCACTACGTTTAGCGACGTCACTGCGTCGTCGCGACGTAAAATTGTTATGCTTGCAAGAAGTGTACAATCGTCTACGGCTCCTATTTCCACATTGGTAATGTCAAGAAGTAATTATGAGGAGGGAGCGCAAAGTCAGCATGACCCTGTTGCTGTGTAGTACTTTATCACGGTATGAGGACAGACTTAGAGCTGGGACATGGAGACAGACTTAGAGCTGGGACATGGAGACAGGCTAAGAGCTGGGACATGGAGACAGGCTATGGGCAGAGATATGAGGACTGGCTAAGATTTAGGATATGAACAATGAACTGAGATATGAAACAAGGAACAGGGATATGAGGACGGAGTGAAGGAACTGTACCCAACCATTTGAGCCATCGGGGATCGAACACCGACCCTGCAAGAAGCAAGGCCGTTGCTGTACCGACTAATCAAAGTGTTCAACTAGGCGATGTGATCAGGGAACTTACAACGTCAGTGGAGCGAGGTAGCCAACTTTTTTAAATGTACTTACATGGAAAACAACTTTAAATATATAAGAGATGAAGATTAAAGTGGAGTGTAAGGACGGAAATAAGACTAACCAGCAAACAAGAGGAGATAATGCTTAGAAGTTTATGTTATAGAATAGTCATTACAATAAAGTGACCCCCCCCTACCTCTGCCTAGACTCAGAAAATTACATTACACGTAAAATTAAATATCTTATATGCTAAGGAATGACTTGGACTTTCGTGGCGCGAGTTCAGCTCGTATAATTACAACAGTTTGATGCAAATACAATTCATGACAGGAAAGATAGCCAAAAAAAAGGTGCCGATGAATGAAGTCCAAATAATGGAGGAAACATAGCAAACATTCACCCAGGGATCATTAACCAGTACGACCATTACGTCGACAGACAAGATTAAATAATTACTAAATAATTATGAATTATGACAGGTAAATTCAGGCATAACAACCCGCCGCCCGGTAACAAGGGCACCTCACCGATCATTTCACTAGCCTCAAACTTTCCCATTAAAGCTACCTAACCCTCGGGGTCATGCAGGCTCCTTAGCTACAATAAAGAACTCTACTGACTGAAATCCTTAAGCATGTCTTAAGAAGGTAAATTCTAAGGATACTTAACTGACGTACGAGGAGCCAGGAGCCGACACCCGAACTTCAACACGTCTCACAGGTCACTGATGACTCTGAATATGGTTGTTGGTCTCCTCATGATAACTGCCATATAGCGTCCACGATTTTCCATAATTATGTGTTTTTACTCTTCTTGACAAGTATAAACTATATGTAGGCAATTTATTATATTTTTTCCCAACAAAACAATATATTTACCATGATAGAAATCAGCCTATATTTGTTACATTAGCAGTTATTAGGGGAAAAATGGCAAAATCTTAAAGGTGAGGGACTGAAACAAACATTAATTTTTGATTGTTGCCGCCGAATGCGACTAGTTTATTGTGCACCCCATACTCATCCTGTGAGCGGTAGCGCAAAAGCATTACAGAGGGCACAAAAGGTCTTTATCAGACCTCATCTTAGATTATTACATAAACAATTTCTTCAATCCTTCACACCTTATAGATACAATGTCAGCTAGTTACAGAGAAAGTGCTATTACAAGAGCTACATATTTACAGTAAGTCATCATACATTAGTGGTAGGTCTTATCGTTAATACATAATAGTTTGGCCAATGGGGATATTACAGAGTCATAGGGGAGCTTCTGTTTATTATTAGTCCTCACAATACACTACTTGTTTCTGAATCTCATATGTCGTTCATCTACTGGAAGCAAAATGTGGATACAGTGCAAGGATTTCAGGTAATTTATCCATGGTAATAAGATAGGTTGCCATATCATACAGAGTGAGCTTAGATTTATCTCTAAAAGGCTCAATTTTACAACAATCCAAGATATAGTGTTCGAGTGTGTGTCCCTGCCTATGTCCACACACTTTACACTTTACTTCATCTAGATCCCTATACAAGCCGAACTGCCAGAGATACTTGTAGCCAAGTCTTATACGAGCTGTGACAACATCTGTTAGTCTACTGACTTTGTTACTTGCCCCATACACATGTTTTACTTCACACATTTCATTGTGATGATTAATGGACCTGCTAGTTCCAGTTTGCACTGTTCTACTTTCTTGAAATCCATCCAGGAGTTCTCGTCTAATGACACTTTTAAGGGACCTATTTGATAACTCAAGATTCCATTCAATACTGTCTTTATTTACTGCAGCCTTAGCAAGGGCGTCAACTTTGTCATGTTCCTGCATGCCAATGTGAGAAGGAATCCACAACATTTTTATATTTACCCTCTTGCTAAGTATTCTTACATATCTACGTCTAGCTTCCAAGACAAGCACGTTATTACTTGATTGCAAACTGTTTATTGCTCGTAGTGAGGATAGGGAGTCAGAAATAATTAAGCTGTCTACTTCAGTGTTGTCAATAATTTCGAGTGCTACCAGTATCGCTACCAACTCGGCCTGCATTGTGGACGCCCAGTTACTAATTCGGATATTTCTTTGAATTGTGCTGCCATCGGGCTGATGAGCAATAACAGTACTTCCTGCCCTCCCTGTAGCTGTATTGAGTGATCCGTCAGTGTATATGTTCTGTGCTATGTTGTTTTCAGCTTGTATATTGTGAATGTGTTCTATGGTGCCTAATTCAGCAGCAAGCTGAGCACGAGGGTTGTTTGTGATTAGTTTCTTGGTGGGGTATGCAGGGGCCAGGATGCCAAAAGGCACCATCTGCCAGGGTGGAAGGAAGCGCTGCACTCCCTCATCCGTATATACATCGCGCAGCCCCACCATTCCAACATGAGTGGCAGCTCCCTGAATCCATTCAGACTCGCCAGCTCCACCTCGCATGTGCTCCAACAGTGCAACTGACACAATGTTGTTTTTGCTATCACGCAGCAGCCCCAGTCCCATCATAAGACCAATTTCAAATATTCTATCTCGAATGCTAAGTATATTTAACTCCCTCCGCACGCTGAGAACCCTGCTAGTCACAGGACAGCCAAGCATAATTCTGAGTGCCCCACCTTGCACTCCCTCCAGTCCACCAACACTCCTGCCACTTTGCAGGACCAAAGCTGGTGCATGATAGTCTATCAGAGAAACAAACAGTTACCTCACGTCCTAGAGAGCTTGGGGGGGGGGGGGTAACGTGATTAATATTACTTTTGAAATATATTATAGGGATAAGCTGGTTACAGAAAACTCACAAAATCAACATGAAATATGCAAGACCATGAAACATTAACATTCGAAAATTTGCTGGTGGAATACGAGCTAAGCAAGCCTCATGCTTCTGTATTTAATATCATACCTTAAAAGCAACTCCATTACTGCGAGTGTAATATATAGAAGTTACTTAAATACAATTGCGTCTAGCTATGCATGTAAATCAATCAACTGTTCTACTGCCAAAAACAAATTAACATATTAGGCTGGGCATGATCTGCTACCCAGCTAACAGGCTGATCAATTTCTGAACTCCTTACTCCAGAACCCAACTTTCAGGATATTTCCATGATTTTCCAGTAGACATTTTACAGGTACAAGCACAGACAAAATTATAAATAGGTTATTTAATTGGATCACATATATATTTGCAATCCTCCCTTGGAAAGGCTAGGCTAATATTGGGCACTAGATGTCAGTAGCTCGGTCAATTAAGTGTCGTTAGTCCTGCGCTTTGTGTACTATGGCCTTATCTTGTGTAGTGAATGCTGTGCCTTGTAAGGTGTATGCTGTACTTTTGTGGATTACAATGTGGTCTGTAGAATATAATGTTCCTTGTGGAATATACTATGCTTTGTAGATTGCGTTGCACTTTGCGGAATATTCTGTTTCTTTTAGACTATAGACTTTCCTCTGTAGAATATACTGTGCCTTTGAAAATATGCTGTTGCTTGTTAAATATACTGTGCCTTTATGGAATATGCTTTGTCGTGAAGAACATTATGTACCTTGTAGAGTATGTTATATTTTGAATAATATACCGTGTCTTTTTAGAATATACTGTCCCTCGAGAATTACTCTATTATGCTGGCAGGTTTTCTATAACGTGTGTATGCTGTGTCTTGTAGAATATAGATTAAACTGTGCTTGTATACTCTGTTTTCTGGAATATAGCCTAGCGTGTATTGCAGAACGCTCTACAAATTGAACATAATTTGCACAGTTTGCACAAGTCCACTTACGGGCTCACTAGAGAGCCCACGCTACTTGGAGCTTTTGTTCAGAGTTGCTGAATGTATAACAACATGCACAGTTTGGATGGCTATTGTCGCAGTGTTGTATTATAAACTGTATCCAGTCTCGAGTTTGGCTCTGGTTATGCCCTGAATATGGTGGTTCTGGGTTCCCTTGTTAAGCTCTGAATGTGATGTTCTGGGTGCTATTCTTATTGCCATATCCTTCACTTTCGTGTCATTTTACTGCGCTGGTCTGACCTTCATTATAGACCAGATTGGACGAAGAGAGAGAGAGAGAGAGAGAGAGATAGAGATATTCCTGCTTTTAACCTAAACCCCTACCCCCCCCCCTTAACACCCACCCACTCTCTCTCTAGGTCAACAATTCATCAGATATGCTCGCGTTCTTTTAACGTTCTGATGATCTTCACTACGTGTTATTGACCTGAAAATTTCAGATTAGTTTCCGGAGGTTGGCAGCCAGGAGACGGCGTCGGTAACGGTTGGAAGCCTCGGTCACGTAAAGGTCTGAAATTGGATTTTCGACCACAACTTTAAAATGAGATTAGAGGGAGTTGGGATTAACATGAAATGCGTTTCATGTTACTAAGAAAAAGAGTTTCCGATATGTTTAACTGTTAAATTAATATTTTCTTCTCCTACCGCCCCTATTCTTATTTTTCATCACTTCCACCACCACCTTCTCCTCTCCCTTCCAGTACACACCTCCTTTCTCTTTCCTCCATCCTTAAACCATCCTCCTCTCTTCCTATCACCTCCCACATCCCTCCATCCTGTCACTCCATTTCCTCACAAATACCTTTCCGCTGCCGCATCAAACATCGCTAAATAACAGCTATGTCCAGATTCCTTCTCTCCTAATTCTATACTTTTCTCTCAATTCTTTCAAGATGGTAGAATATATCTGCGTGTGTGCTGGATGTTTATAGTTGGTTGAGAATGTTTGATATTTTTTACCTGATTTACCCGAGGGCAACTAACACTAGTGGCCTCGACGAGGACAGGGAGCCGGCAGCTTGTTGATGGCCCCCCCCCCCTCCTCATATGCCTTGATGATATTCTCCAGGTGGATCATAAAACCTGGTCAATGTCTAATCTATATTGTCATTGTATCTATCGATTATTTCGGTGTTATCTGTCATGATACCTCTTATCGTTACCAGAGATATGCTAAGTATTAACTATTAATAATCAACTCAATGTATGGTATATTATACAATCTCCACAGTGAAAGCAGAATATCCAGCACGCACTGCCACAGCCGTCATAAGAACATAGGTCTAATTACCCATGCCACACTTTAATTCACTTCATCTTTCTTGGTTATATATTTGGTTGTTCCAGCTAACTTGCTCACCTAAGAGGTTACAGCTCCTCTCCTATGCCAGGTAAGTCCACTACGGGCTCACCATAGCCGGTGCTAATTGGAACTTTTTGATCAGAGTAGCTGAATCTAAAACAACAGCTAACTGGCTTACACTTACACAGAAAAAAAATACATCTCAAAGGGATATAGTAGCTTAGGCTATTTCTACCCCCACTTGGTGTCAACACCCCGACCGTCCAAGTGGTTGGGCACTATTCCTTCCCCCCGTCCCATCCCAAATCCTTATCCCTTCCAAGTGCTATAAATTTGTAATGGCTTGGCGCTTACCCTTGATAATAAAAAAATTATTGGTGTCAACACAGATCCAGTGGGACGACATCATCGGTGAGGCTGAGGGGCTGAGGTCACCTGACTGCTGCTGGAGGTGCACCAGCCGGTGCTATGAACGCACTCAGGAGATCTGCTACGTTCTTCTGGTCGTCCTCTTCTCTCCTTTTATCGCCTTCTGCAACGGCTGTAATTTCGCCTGTCTGGCCTTCAACGTAAGTGGAGCTGTCTGAAGGGGTCGGAAGATGGAGAGGAGGGGAAAAAGTGTGAAAAAAGGGAGAGAAAGAGAGAGAAAGGAAGATTATGAGAGAGAAGGGGAAATTGTGAGAGAGAAGCGGAGAGTAAGAGAGAAAGTTAGATGGTAAAATAGAAAAGAGATGAGAGAGAGGGAGAGGAAAGAAGAATGGAGAGAAGAACAAGAGGGGGAGAAAGGAGAAGAGTAAGGGGCCAGGGAGATAATACGAGATGGAAAGAGAGAAGAATGAGAGAAACGATAGAAAAGAAACATCAAGAGAGCAGAACAGTAAAGTCAAATGAGTTATAAACAAAAATAGATAAAAATAATAATGAAGCGAAGTATAATATAGAAGTGCGAGATGAAGTAGAAGAGAGATTTATATAAGAGGGGATTTGAATTAAATAAGTTGTCTCTAGGTTGATTTCAGAGGAACATTGCAAACATATTCTGCAAATCTCACTTTTTAACCAATACAATAATATTGTGCACTGAACAGCTAAGCACGTGACCCCGGACAAAAATTAAAATAACGCTGTTTTTACATTGTGCGTTCGTTGTGTTTCGTACTATAAAGAATTAATCTGACCTTGTTAATGTCTTTTCCGATCAACAGCAAGTATGGTGTGTTGGTCCATGTTTCCGGAGCTGGAAGATCAACTGTGCCACCATCAAGAAGTTCTGGGAGGCATGCCTGATCGCTGTGTGTGGGCCCATAGTGGAGATCTGCGGGCTGGTCTTCTCAAAGGCGTATGTGCGATACCAGCGGGTCCCGGATGGCATCCCTCCAACCAACAGCACCTACTTCAACGTGTGAAATGTGTGAACTCAGAGAACTGCTGCTGGGAGGGCCACGGTGGTGCAACGTTGCTCGGGTAATGTTAAATCAGTGTTGATTCAACGTCCCAGTAGGTACTATATTCAAGAGCAACGCCGAATCAACGTCAATCAACGTTGAACTAACGTTAATAACGTTGAGTCAATTGTGAACCAACGCCACTTTTAAATATTGTGCGCTTACTGGGGGTAGGATCAATGCTAATTCAACTTTATACCAACATCGTTTACTCAGATTTTCCCCCCATATGGAGCTAGGCTTCAGCCAAACACTGGTCGGGTTTTGAGCCACCTGTAGATGATTCTTCACAGTTCTGTAGTGAAACTAACGACGGTCATGAGGCAAAGATAGAACTGAACTACGAAACAATTGGACTAAAAATAAAAACACTGATTACTGCAAGTTTGAAATATTTGATGAATGGTGAGGAATGAGTGTGATAAGACTCTTAGCGAGTGAGTACGGGGTAGAAACAATCCCCATTAGTAAGGAGATTGCTGCAATTTTTGTGAAATCATCGGCTTGATGCCCGTAAGCATGTCTTGGTTCTCCAGTAGCTACAAGCTTGTTTGTAATACCAGTAGGTGATGGCCAAGGTACACATACGAAACCGCTTCACCAAGCCAAGCTTGAAACACGGTTACAACTTGTGAGGGGAGGGGGGGGGGTGTCCTCAATGTTCAACTGTCCCACGCTGTCGTAGTTACGACTTGTGAATGGCATCTTCACTATCCAACTGCTCCATCCTGTCGTAGTTACGACTTGAGAGGAACAGGCCCTCACAAACCATCTGGCTCACGTTTTTCTTTTCTTCACTGTTCCTAAAAGTTGATTGTGTTCAGTAACTTTAAATGTGTGATGTTGAAGAGTATACAGTATATATTTTATGTTAAATCAAACTTATAAAAATCTGATCACCCAGCCTAGTCCACGAATGTCCCAAAGAAAACATTGCTTAATAAACCAAAAGGTAGAAAAAATCTTCCGCTACCGTTAGGCTATGTAAGCACTATCACACTGGAGAGTGGAAGACTCTCCTGGATGTTATTGCCTTCAGATGTCATCTCATTTACTTCGTTCTCAAACTCAATATCCTGATTAACTTCTATTGTATCAACAACTCCTTTTCCAAGATAACACTTCATCTTGCTTTCTATGGCAGGAAAAGCTAATGACATACTATGTAAATTTGGGTGATCAGTGTTCAGAGGAATTCGAAGGATATATATTATTTTTGACGTGATAAATCACACTTTTGTGATTAGTATTCTTGTACAAACTGTATGACTTTTTGCAAGGTTTTGAGATGTGGTGTGTTGTGGCTCACTTTGAATATGTATTTTAATGTGGAGTTTATAAGGCAGATTTGCTTCTTTATGTTTAGCTTTGATGCAACATAAGGATAATGTGATTTTATGATGTTAACATTGTAACTTGTTCATAGGTCAATATATTGATGGAATAGAAATATGATTTGGTTGATTAAACTTAAACGGGTTAGTCATCTTAGCGATATATATGTATATATATTATTTCAGCTTACTTTGATCAGTGGTTTCATGATTGTTGTTACATATATACATGCAACAATGATAATTAAAACTAATTATATATATATATATATATATATATATATATATATATATATATATATATATATATATATATATATATATATATATATATATATATATGTGAGAAAGCTGTATGAACGCGCAAGCCATATATCACTAAGAACTCTTTGACCCGGCCAGGATTCGAACCCATGCCGTCCAGGATCACCCCTAAACGTACACAGTACCGTGACCACCGCACCAATGATCGTCTAGACGATCATTGGTGCGGTGGTCACGGTACTGTGTACGTTTAGGGGTGATCCTGGACGGCATGGGTTCGAATCCTGGCCGGGTCAAAGAGTTCTTAGTGATATATATATATATATACACACACGTTTTATTTCATATAGACGTTGCATTAGTGAAAAATTACCTAATTAATCTAACTACAAGTAACAAATACTAACAAATCTTTAGTCCCGAAATTAAAGGGAGGCAGGTGAACGAAACACTAAGATTACTGGCCAGTTTTCGTAATTTATAGGACAAACAAAAATAGGTGTCAGTATTTTTGAGATTGCCGTCACTTAGCGAAACTTATAAAAGTGTAGTTGTTTGTTTACACATTAATAATTTGTGGTAGTACGTATACTTAGAATGTATACCTTGGGTGAATGTAAACTTGGATGGTAGCACTAATTTGTCTAACTTTTCGTACAAAGAACACATTTTTTGTAAGTTGTGGATTTTTGTAGCTTTATGTTCCCTTTTATATAAGAATTTGGAGTCATGTGGATATTTAATATATAATGTCTGTTCCAGTCACTGTGATAAATATATATATAAACAAATAAAATAATAAAAAAATAATCTAGGAATTCCATGCCAGCTGTTTGATATGTGAAGAATCTTGTCAGTGCTTGACATATATTTGCAATTTATAATATTATATATATATATATATTTGTGTTTGTGCAAGTGTGTAGTATATTTCGGGCTGGCATTTTCTCCAATAGTGACTGATGTGATGAAAAGGAACAAGTGATCTCTTGCCTTGACTGATGATGTTGAGGGGTTGGGTTATGCCTCCCAGCTTCAACCCTTCTAACACTCTGTCATGGTCAAGCCATTACCGTATTGGTTATGTTAGTGTGTGTGATGCACCTGGCTTTCTAAGGTTCGAATCCTTCACGGAGAAAAGTTCTTTGGTTATATATTATATAAATATAACGTGTATATATATATATAATATATATATATATATATATGTCGTACTTAGTAGCCAGAATGCACTTCTCGGCCTACTATGCAAGGCCTGATTTGCCTAATAGGCTGAGTGATTTTCATTATTTTCAACAATTTTTTTCCAATTGGTTTACTTAAATTATTATTATATTAAGAACATAAATTATTGACTTAGTTATGTTAGTTTAGGTTAGGTTAAGCTAGGTTAGGTAGGGTAGGTTAGATTTGGTCATATATCTACGTTACTTTTAACTCGAATTATAAAAAAGAGCTCATTCAAAATTAAATAGATACCTTTATTATTCATAAGAAACAAAAGGACTCACGAGCGGCCAGTTTCCTGTTCCAGCGCCTCAGTGTCACAGCTCAGAGAGGAAATGCTTGCTGTATCCTGGGTACGCACCCAACCTCCGAGGAGCTGGACGAGGTCTTCGAACACTGATTGTTATATTGTTATGTAAATGTGTGTGTTCTCTGTAAACTGTAGCATTTTATATATATATATATATATATATATATATATTATATATATATATATATATATATATATATATATATATATATATATATATAATGTCGTACCTAGTAGCCAGAACTCACTTCTCAGCCTACTATGCAAGGCCCGATTTGCCTAATAAGCCAAGTTTTTATGAATTAATATTTTTCTCTATTTTTTTTCTTATGAAATGATAATGCTACCCATTTCATTATGTATGAGGTCAATTTTTTTTTATTGGAGTTAAAATTAACGTAGATATATGACCGAACCTAACCAACCCTACCTAACCTAACCTAACCTATCTTAATATGTTAGGTTAGGTTTGGTAGCCAAAAAAGTTAGGTTAGGTTAGGTAGGTTAGGTAGTCGAAAAACCATTAATTCATGAAAACTTGGCTTATTAGGCAAATCGGGCCTTGCATAGTAGGCTGAGAAGTGCGTTCTGGCTACTAGGTACGACATATTATATATATATATATATATATATATATATATATATATATATATATATATATATATATATATATATATATATATATTATATATATATATATATATATATATATATATGCATATATATATGCATTTTACTTATTATAATAACCAAAATACACAAATTACCAAATCCTCTTATTTAATAAATGAATTACTAAAGTCTTAGCACTGATGATTTAACCTAAATCAAACATGTTTTATGATGAATTAAAATATATAAATTCCTTTGAGAAAATATATAAAATATTCTTTGGAGAATTATTTATCGGTTAAATACTTATGTGATGAATGCTATTTTGTGATTAATTAAAAACAAAAATCACTATATATATTACATGCATTCATAGAATAAAAATAAAGAATTGGAAGAAATGAATATTCATTCTTTTGTTGGAACAGCATATGCCAACCAAATTAACTTTTAACTAATCAACTGTTCTACTGCTTAACTAATTAAGCAAGCAAAACAAAACTAAAAGAAAACCCCCACAAAAGTACGTTGTACAAAAGTACAATGTCACCAGAAGGAACAGGAACACAGTCATTGCACTGGTAGGCAAGTTGTGCAGCACCTTGCGCCCCTACCAGCAAACAATACCACTTCCTACTCCAGGCCAAACAAAGGCCACGAAACCCCAGATGGCCCCAAGGGCAAAGTAAATGCCAAGCAGCAAGAACCTCTACGGAAGTGGAGTCCCGAAGGCACTATGGAAAGTAGCTCTAGCACCCAAGGGTAGTACTTACAGGGTGCTTAGGGAAGGTAGCCATAAGCGCATGCAGCCCCAGTACACTGATGTTACACCTGGCCACCGCACCACAAACAGCAGAGAACACCACTAGGGTAAAACACTGCCAAGAAATCGAGTCCAGAGTCGACAACCGCCCCATATCGCATCAGTCAACGAACTGGTGGTGGTAGCCGGCGTGGTAGTCCAGGGTACCCCCTCCACATCGTGTCAGAAAGGCGAACAGCCCGCCTGCTTTCTCTCACTATATTTCCCACTTCTATACTTCCCTTCACCTATGCCTCTCCTTCCTCTTTACTTCCAAAAAATAAAAAAAAGTATATGACGTTTGCTTGTTTCCTTTGGTCTTGGGGATTTCTGCCTTTCTGTTCGGTCTTCAGTTGCAATTTTTTTCCCAAGTGGGGTTTGTTTTGTTATGCCTACCTTTCTGGGTGCCTAACCCTGACCGATGGCAGATAAGGAATACCCCCAACCACATGAGGGTTTTCCATAGGCAATTGCTCCCTGTGGGAGGCCAGGTTCTTGCTTGTGGTCCCTGGTAGGCTGAACTCCAATTGACTGATGCCCCAGACTAATATATCACATATCACTCCGATAGCTCCAGGGAAGCCGTCGGAGCTCCCCACAGAAACGCTAAGTGTTTTGGGCAAGTCTTTAAGATAATACAGAATTTGCTGTGAATTTTTCTTTATAAAGTGAACAGTCAATCTTAACAAAATAAAACTAGTGATTGAGGAATGTACTATGCAATAAAAACGTAACTACTGTATGTAACGTTAGTAACTAGGGTGAGGTGCATGGTGGTAATGAGATATTTTATTGCACTGATAGTGTTACATTTCTAGATAGTAAGGTACAAGGAGAGTTAGTAGAACAAAGTGGGATACTGTACTATGGTGTGAAAATTAGGTGCTACTGTATTTTATTTTACTTTTGAATAAAGTATAAGTTGAGTTACTTCATTAGGAATTAAACAACTTTTTCACAATTAAAATATTAATTTAAGTGGTGGTGCAGCATTTTAGGTAATTATTCAAATTAATTAACTAATATAAACCTTGTTTTGAGGGTTACAAGACAATAATAATAATGTGGGATTATTAAACAATGTTTCTCCTTTGTCTTCCACTTTTATTTGGTAAAACTACAATCTGCTGATCTATGAACTTCATGTGAAAAAACTCACTGTATTAGAACATGCCATGAGGAAGGAAGGTGATAGATATTTCTATAAGAAATTACCATTTACATCTGAGGAATATCAGTCTATAAGTTTTCAATATAGAAATTGAAAGTTTGCAAAATAAAACACATTGTGCATAATGAAGTTTGGCTCTAGTTTTGCAAATGCTAAAAAAAAAGTTCCAATCATTTATCATTTTATTTTACAATCTTTCATTATAGCATAGAAGAATACAAATCTTTACAACATTGTGTTTTATGAGAGTTGGTTTAGATACCTCTATACTGTACGCACTCTACAAATTCACACAAATACTGTATATTAAACACCCATTAACTAAACCTAATCAAGTTTTAATTAATTTGATATATTATATATATATATATATATATATATATATATATATATATATATATATATATATATATATATATATATATATATATATATATATATATATAAAATCTTTGTATTATTGCAAGAACAATATGGGTACCGGGAAGATAATTAGAACTTAGGAGCTATAAACGACAAGAGGCATATTAAGACCTTCATGTACTTACTGTGATCCTTTACGGTGCAAGCAATAACGCAGCTTGTAAGTGAGCGAGATGGTGAATTACACACTTATGGCCACCAATAACATCATACAATGGAGAAAAATACATATACAATACATTCTTTGATTTTTCTAAACTACACAGCTGCTACACTAGTGACATAAGATTTTTCTAAACAATGTCTTTTTTTTTTTTTTGTAGAGGAGAATATTTAACTTTAAACATTCTCACAGTCATATCCTTGTCAAACAAAATTTCTTACATCTGCAGAGACTGCAAAAAGATTTATATGTTACTCGCCGGGTACTACGCCCCACAGTTGTTTTCAGTGGTTAAATTTTTGTAATGCATAAATTAACTCTGTACTGACATTTATAATCGTAGATTATCTAAAATACCAAAGTCAATTTCAGAACATGCTTACTCATTATGAGTAAGCATATTCTGATAGAGATGTGGGAATTAAAATTATTATGGTCTAATATACCCTGTTACAAATACTATTGCATATAGTTTAAAAACAACAAAAGTAACATAATTTGCATTATTAAAACATTACTCACAGGCAAGACCACAATTCGGTAATAATTTTGAATTTTTCATTACACAAGAACTGTATCCTGTAATGTACTGTATGTTACATGTAACATACGGTACATTTCATTACATAATAGAGCTTGTAAAGTATTTATGAAGCCTCATATTCTCATGATGCTAAAATGCAGAAAAAATCATTACAATAGCTTCACTCTTTTACAGTTTTATTCAGATTTCCATGGATGGACATGACCAAAGTCTGTAATTATGATGCAAGAGTTACAAATTGGTTCTTATCTGGGGCCACAAGTTTCTACCTACATGATGCTCATAGCAGATACAGCTGTGAACAATACTCATTTACACAAAACTTAAATTATAACCATATCAACACAAAATCAAGGGGAATGACTCATTTTGTAATATATACTGTATTTTTTTTATATTTAAGGTTAAAATCGATGGATGTTGAGGAGGAAAAGAACATTAACATTCAGGAAGAACTGTAAACATTAATGTTTAAGTAGTACAGTGAGCATAACACTCACCATAACAGTGAACATTAATGTTCAGCAGGAAACCATGAATATTAACATACAGGAACCGTCATGAACATTAAAAGTCAAGAAGAACCATGAGCATTCATGTTCAATAAGTATAGTGAACATAATAATCAACAAGAATAATGAACATTAACATTCAGGAAGTACAGTGAACATTAATGTTTAGCAAGAACCATGAAGAACAGTGCAAATTTTTTTGTATGCATTTGGAATTGCTGGAAAAAATAGAGATAATAATAATAATACAAATATTAATAATTTAATAGATGGTGCTTTGTTAGCCATTGCGACAATGATGGTGATATGAAGATGGAGAACATTGCATAATGTACATATTCACTGAAAAATTAGTGAGAACTGCTGTATATTACAATGTTTGGGGACATTGAAAGATAATTTATTATATAATGCTGTGAACCTTTTCATCACTAACTTAAAGCTTACGAGATGATGATATACATACTAGATATATATACAGTACTGTATATGACAATGTCTGACCATGAAGGAAAACGAGATAGGAAATTCCTAAAGTACTTGCATATTAATCAATATATCTTAAGAAGGATGGATATTACATGTTAATCGTGGTAATATTTAGGCAGGGAGGAAAACAAGGTGAAAAACAATGAGGTGAGGTGAAGCCTATGTCTTTGGTTCATGAAAAACAATGTCTTCGTTGTTCACCTCACCTCACTGTCTTCTCCCTGCCTATATATTACCATGTCTAACTTATAATATCCATCCTTCTGAAGATTTATTGATTAATAATAAAGCACTAAAGGAATTTCCTGTCTCAGTTTCCTTCCTGGTTAGACATTGTCACATTATTCATCCTGTGTTAATTTCTTCGTGATTTACACATACAATTTTACACATACAATGTGTAAATTTACTGTGGAGGTGGTATATTAATGCACTTTTGTAATTCCTATCAAGTTTTTTTTAAAGTGTACACTATACTTATCTATTTGTAATAGATAATAACTGCCTGTAAGATGTTAGAAATTTACCAGTACTTGTACTAAACACATCCTGAATTTTACTAAAGAGTATATTCAAGCAAATAAAAACATTATTAAGGTTTTTATTTGGTTCAGGTTTATTATTTAAAATCTCCCAAAATACTATATATATTTCATTTAATAATTATGCAGTTACAGCTTAACTAATGAATATAATTCATGTAGTATTACACATTTATTTACAGTCATGCAATAAGGGTGTAAAAATCCCATAGTGGGTACACCTCAAAAGGGCTCAGTATAATACACTTTGTTTCCTTGTTAACTTCATGCGACACCCACCACAAATCCCCAGACAAGCACACAACTCTTAAGATTTTCTGTACAATACATTGCTTGTTGTAACAGATGCATAGTGTTGCCAATACAGTTTCAGTTACTGTATACATTACAGTTTGAGGGAGGAGGGGTTAAAGTAGTACTGTGTACTATGTATATATTTCAATGTCTCATTTTTTGTTATGGCTCATCAGTCAAATGACAGCTCTTATCATTTTTTGCACACAACGAATAATAGGTTTTCTAAACTGGCCTTCTAGCACCATCAATTTGTTTTCACTATTACTATTATTCCTTTATTTATTATTTTTAATGTAGTATTGTTAACTTTAAGGTGCTCTATATATTCCTTGAAGGGGGAGTGGGGGTATCCCATGAATGAGGTCAGTGCCTCAGTTACATAACAGTAATGCTTTAGCAGCGACCTTACACATTTATGTTATAGAATATGTAGTAGCAGTTCTGCTTAAATTGCTCTACATTCTACAGTTACACTACTACTAATAAATTAACTGTACAGGTATTGTAACATAAAACATATAGGATAAGATGTCAAATATACCTAAAAATATTTGTATTACATGAAGTGATTGAGGGATTTTATCTTATTCTAATTACTGTATACAAATATCTGAATATAAACTTTATATGACTTGTCCAATTTGCAGGAAGAAGAAGACAGTAACATGTTGTGTGTGACATGGCGAGCTCTTGCCAGCCGTGGAAGAGACGACCAAGCAGCCGTTATGTTTCTCTCTAATTTACAAGGGAAAGTTTTATTTTTGTCAAAGTTTCCACTGTAAGGCTGATAACATCTCACATGGTCACAACTGGAGCATTTATAATTGAAAGGGCTAAATTCATGCTCCCAAATTCATGTTAAGAAAGTTTTGAGAACAGCACTGGGTAAGCATAATGCAAGTTGTCGTAAGCACTGTATATAGAACAGCAACTTCAAAGTGTTACGTTTCTACTTTGATACCTGTTTAGTTATATTATGTTTCCAATAGATTTCTGCAGACCCAAGACTATCAAGGAGGTTAAAATTATGTTTACCTAGGTTCTGATATATAAAAGAAGATATAGTATTCACACGGCAGATATCAGAGAATACAGTAATAGTTTGAATCAGATTATAGATATGTTGCAGCATATACTAAACAGCATTCTAGCTAAAAATATTAGATAAACTTAAAAAATAGTGAACTGATCATAATATAAACTAAAATAAACATTAACCAAGAAAAATATTGCATGTGAACACACTAGTACTGAAGAACTTTTTATATGCCTTCTCTAGTTGCTGTAATAGATTATGTCAATTATTGCAGAATATTTGTTATAAAAAGGTCTTAATAAAGATTAATTAAAAATTCATCAATAAAACAAAAAACAATTACTGTAACCTACCTAGAAAATATATCTTAAACAATACTTAAAATACGTGTGAGTAATGACTACGATTCACTATAGTACCACAATTTGTTATAAGAGAATATATTTAGTAATTCCATTGATGGTTCAGTTTTTCATCTAATAAATATATTGTACAGTACATAAAGATTAAGATAAACAAAGAAAATGTATGCATATAAAAATCCAAGGGGTTACTTATGTGATTCAATTCCTTCTACAATACATACTGCACTATTGTTTCCTTCTCAATTATAATTAAACTCCACTCTAGAGTACTACTGCTCTAACATATTCAGAATTCAAACATTTTACTCAAGGGCAAAAACCCAAAAATAAAAAAAATCGTGCTGAATTGAAATTTCATAGTTCTGTATATAATTTAACCCTTAAATAGTGCAGCTATTTAAAAGTACTACATCAAGGTGTGCATGTCTGAAAATAGTCAACAAATTAAATGGGGGAAAAAATCACATATGGAGAGTGTAGCACAGAAACAAATCACAGAGTGAATGGAGCAGTGCGGTGGATAAATGGGATAAAATTACCACAATGTTGTGCAGTGTGGATATTGATCATTAGGATTTGTCTATGAATGGAAATTTAAGAGCTTCATAGGCCTGTTTAGTCTGCCTGGCATAGTAAATAGGGTCTTGGAAAGCCTAATTATATTTATATTTAGTTACCCCCCCTCCCCCAAGAAGAAATGATCTATTCCAAAATAAGATATAACACACTTTATCTAGTTAAAATTATTTAATATATTGGCAAAGAAAAGAAATGATGTTAGGGCATTTAGAAAAATTAAGAGATCACTTGCAAAAGTAGGCATTACAGTTCTGCCTCTTTAAGTCTCACTGTAATCAATTCTTATTCAAAACAAACATGTTAATCAATTGCATACAGATATGCTGTACCCTAGTGACTATATAAGCATGATTGGTAACCATGGTTACCAATAATATTACTGTATATTTCTCCTCATTGAAATTTTTATTAGAATAAAAAGTCAATTAGATATGTTTTCAACAAAAAGCAATTATGACTAGGAAATACACAGCACTAATACTTATTGTGATTTATCAAATATTTGGCACAAAAATTACAGCCATGGAAGCTTGATGACTGTAAGTCAAAACTGTTCTTGAATCTCGGGAAATTTCGGATGCTTGTAAGTAAATCCCCCACTATTATCCTGCTGATATTCACAATAATAAATTGCTACAAGAAGCTAATTAATCAGTATAAACAAAAATACAATTTGCAATGCAAAATAGCACATCCACAATTATGATCATGAATTTGGATGCAAGAGAATAAATAAAAAGGAGCACCGACGGTGAAAACACGCAGGCTCAACCAATATACATGTCCTTCATGGCTGCTCTTTACACAACTCAACATCAACCCCAGCAAACACACAACATTGTAGCAATGTTATTGTGTTGTTACAACATAAAAATAACATGGTTACATTGTGTGTTCGTTGGGTCTACACCGCAACTAAACTACAGCAGAACACTCTTTCTTTAATTAATTATGCACTTCAACAGACTGGCCCAACTAAGAACATGTTAATGGGGCTGAAGTTTTGTTTTTATTTAATCAACACACTGCTTTGGCGTTAAAATCAAATGAGAATCGTAAACAACAACTAGTAATCAAAGTGCAGGTAAAATCATTATCCTATTTGCTGATTATAATAAACTTAATTTTGCTTTGTAGCACATTGGTTACAAAGGGAGAGGAACAATTTTGTCAGCAATATTGAGTGGTACTGTGTTAGAGGACTGTGCCTTGAAGACAGTATTATTACAGCACAATATCTATAAGCTTGCCATCTTTGGTAGCCATAATTTATGAGATTTTAAAAATATTTATGTATACAAAATTCACTCTGATTATGTTATGTAAGTCCTGGTATCATCCTTTTTATGGGTCTCTTTCCTCTCTTCAAGTACACTACCGTATTTGCAATCTTTACCAGTGTTTCAATAACAGTTTGGTAGGGAGTGCAGGAAATGATTATCAAAGATGTAATCCAAATTTACCCATGGTGTTTTGGTCATTGTACATACTATAACATTATTTATATGTAATGTATACAAGTTTTTATATTACATATTATATATATATATATATATATATATATATATATATATATATATATATATATATATATATATATATATATATATATATATATATATATATATATATATATATATATATATATATATATATATATATATATATATATATATATATATATATATATATATATATATATATATATATATATACACATACACACAATGGGGCCTCGACTGACGATGGTAATCCATTCCCAGAGACAGATCGTAAGTCGAAGCGATTTTTCCCATAAGAAATAAAGGGAATTGAACTAATCCGTCCCCCACTCTCCAAAATATTAACTTACAAATACATTTTATACTGAATACAATTTTGTTCTCTAACTACAATACAGTACAAATGTTTATCTTACCTTTATGGAGGTCTCTTGATGGCATATGGAAGATGGTGAGGAGGGGGGAGGAGAGGTGTTACTGTTTGGAAGGGGAGTCCCCTTCCATTATAACTTTAGGCAGTGATGACTTTTCTGGGATACATTCTCTGGCATGTTTTGCTTGCACACCACTAGAACCTGCTTGTGGCTCACTGCTTGCCTGTCTTACTAAGAATCTGTCTAAAAACGCTTGTTTTTCCCTACATTTTAACACTTGTCTGTAATAAGACATCACATTGTCATTTAATAGGTCAATGCAATGGCCTGCTACAGCTTTATCTGGGTGAGTTTTTTCAACAAAACTTTGCAGTTCTTCCCATACTTCACACATTTCTTTAATGAGGAAGGGATATCCTTTACTGCCTCAACTCACAACTATTTTCTTAGGTTGAACCTTACCACCGACTTTCTGGGACCCATGGTGTGATATATAATAATCAGTTTTATGTTCAAAAAGCAAAAAATCACCACAAAAACGGAATTTCTTATAGGCGTGATTGTCACTAAGCGGGCAGGTTTAGTAAACTGAGGCAGGTTGGCCCGCGTAACCGGGAACCATGCACTCGGTCGACCCAAACGTGTACCAACAAATATCGTTAGTTGACGACACTATCGTAAGTCAAGTCGCATTTTTCGATGAAATTTACATCGTAACTCGAAATTATCGTAAGTCGAGGTGCCACTGTGTATATATATATATATATATATATATATATATATATATATATATATATATATATATATATATATATATATATGTAGTACCTAGTAGCCAGAATGCACTTCTCAGCCTACTATGCAAGGCCCAATTTGCCTAATAAACCGAGTTTTCATGAATTAATTGTTTTTCGACTACCTAACCTAACCTAACATTTTCGGCTACCTAACCTAACCTATAAAGATAGGTTAGGTTAGGTTAGGTTAGGTAGGGTTAGTTAGGTTCGGTCATATATCTACGTTAATTTTAACTCCAATAAAAAAAAAGTGACCTCATACATAATGAAATGCGTAGCATTATCATTTCATAAGAAAAAAATTAGAGAAAATATATTGATTCGGGAAAACTTGGCTTACTAGGCAAATTGGGTCTTGAATAGTAGGCCGAGAAGTGCATTCTGGCTACTAGGTACGACATATATATAAAGTTGCCTAACAAGACAAATTTTCCTGAAATATTATACTGTATTTAAAAAAATTATGGAATGATTAAGCTTTCCATTACATTACATATGATTTGAATTTATTAATTTGTTAACACTAACATATAGAACTTCGATAAAATTTAACCTAATCTAACTACATCAGTAATTCATGTTCATGTAATACAGTAATTCTAATTGAAATACAGTAATCTAATTTGGAAAGAATTACAGTACAGTATTTGAAAATAAAGAAAATCACTTTGCTTGTTCGGTAAATTGTGCCTTTCATACTAGGCCAAGTAGTGCTGTTTTGGCTATTAAGTACAATTTATTATTATATATATATATATATATATATATATATATATATATATATATATATATATATATATATATATATATATCTAGAAATCAAACCTTAATAGACTGTGTAAAATGTCCAGGATGCAGGTATAAATGGATAACACGGAAGTTGTGCAAAAATATATGAGGCTAAGTTTCATCTAGTTCATTTACAATTAGTAAATCTTTACTAGTCTTTATACTTTTTTTTTAATTTTGAACAAGAGTTTAAATTTCATAGAACCTTGATACAGTGTAGGTTCTTGATTTATTATTTATCTGTAATATTTCTTCACTTATGTTAAAAATATAGCATAAATTATCTCATTTGTGCCTTCAGTAATATAAGATACAAGTTCCAACTTGCATTTATTGTTAAATAATTATCATTTGTAAAAAGAATTTAGAAAATGGCTTTAGTTCACCACATTTCTGCAGTAGTGCATTGTAGGTCCCATTTCCAACCCTATCCATCGTAACCCTCCCTTATTAATCATAGGATCTGACCCTTGTTAACCCTTAAACTGCTAAGCTATTTAAAAGTTCTACAACCAGGTGTGCATGGGAAAAAAGTATTGAAAACCCAAAGGCTAAATCACATATGGTGATTTGAGCACAGGAAGAAATCGCAGATAGCGATTGAAACAGTGTAAGGGTTAAGGGTCCCCAGTCCTACTGCAACACAGCTGCTCAGCCATCATTCCTTAATGTTCTTTGGGGCCCTGGCTGGGTTGCCGGAAGCCACTCGGTTTCTGCCCGCGTATGGGAGTGTAACCAGCTGAAAGGCAAGACACAGTGTTATGTCCCAACACACTGAATTTATAGCTAAATACAGTACAGCATATTACAACTACGGCAAAACATCTACAGAAACATTACTTTCAAGGCTAATACTCTAGTTACAGTTAACGTTCGTGTTGGATACATCCACAGACAAATGCACGAACACTGATATTCTTAAATTCACATCCTTACGCAAGTTGAGTTGATATCTAAAATGAAAATAAATTTATCAACTGCTATCATAACTTTTAAATTAATGGATAAAAGCAGCATTAAGAAAAAATGTCAATCAAATATACTAGAGCCACTAGAGCAATTTCCATAATCAAATTATAATCCTTGCATCTGATACTCAATTATTCCTTTTGAAACATCAACCCAACATGACTGTAGCAAATATAACACAGCACAGTATGTATAATATATATATATATATATATATATATATATATATATATATATATATATATATATATATATATATATATATATATATGTCGTACCTAGTAGCCAGAACTCACTTTTCAGCCTACTATTCAAGGCCCGATTTGCCTAATAAGCCAAGTTTTCCTGAATTAATATATTTACTATAAATTTTTTCTTATGAAATGATAAAGCAACCCTTTTCTCTATGTATGAGGTCAATTTTTTTTATTGGAGTTAAAATTAACGTAGATATATGACCGAACCTAACCAACCCTACCTAACCTAACCTAACCTATATTTATAGGTAAGGTTAGGTTAGGTAGCCAAAAAAGCTAGGTTAGGTTAGGTTAGGTAGGTTAGGTAGACGAAAAAACATTAATTCATGAAAACTTGGCTTATTAGGCAAATCGGGCCTTGAATAGTAGGCTGAGAAGTGCGTTCTGGCTATTAGGTACGACATATATATATATATATATATATATATATATATGTCATACCTAGTAGCCAGAACGCACTTTTATGCCTACTATGCAAGGCCCGATTTGCCTAATAAGTCAAGTTTTCATGAATTAATTGTTTTTCGACTACCTAACCTACCTAACCTAACCTAACTTTTTCGGCTACCTAACCTAACCTAACCTATAAAGATAGGTTAGGTTAGGTTAGGTTAGGTAGGGTTGGTTAGGTTCGGTCATATATCTACGTTAATTTTAACTCCAATAAAAAAAAATGACCTCATACATAATGAAATGGGTAGCGTTATCATTTCATAAGAAAAAAATTAGAGAAAATATATTTATTCAGGAAAACTTGGCTTATTAGGCAAATCGGGCCTTGCATAGTAGGTCAAAAAGTGCATTCTGTCTACTAGGTAAGACATATATATATATATATATATATATATATATATATATATATATATATATATATATATATATATATATATATATATATATATATATATATATATATATATATATATATATATATATATATATATATATATATATATATATATATATATATATATATATATATATATATATATATATATATATATATATATATATATATATATATATATATATATACACATATATACACATACATACATACATACATATATACATACATATACAGTATACTGTATGCAAGTGATTTCAAGTCATTTACTTTTAACACATATTTCACAATGCACTCAAAAAGCAACATCAATGCTGGTGTTCTCAATGATGCACTCAATAGTTTTCAGTCATATACACAGTTTGAAAGTTATACATGTTTTATATGCAAATACAGTAAACTGTGTTTGATGTAAATGCTGTGCAAGAAATGTAAACTTTTTTTAATAATAAAGATGTGTTAAGCAATTGGTAGAATATATTTATAAAAATTCATAATATTATAATAAAAATGTTTTATAACAAAATTTAATTTCAGATATGAATGTAAATAAACTGTTCTATATCTATACTATATATCATGCAACAATGGGCAGTGTTTTGATGTGTGTCAATAATTTTCCCTACAACAGAAAATATGTATATGTAACATGATATGTTTGGAAATTTTTGTTCCCCCCCCCCTCCAGACCTGATTGCCTGATCGGTGGTAAAAATTAAATTAATAAAGATGGGGGGGTGCCTAAATGGAAGGAAAATGTGTAAAAATAATGTTAAAATGGATAAATCAAATGATGTGCAAAATTAAAAAATATATAAGCATGCTTGTACATGCATGTGTGTCGCTGTCATCGACACATACCCATACACATTGACATTTGTGCTGTATTTATTAAAAGACCAGAATATAAAAATATAAAACATTCATGTCTAACCCTCCTCCCCCCCTTGTACCTTTACACACAGATATCCAACCCTCCCCTTTCTATATCCATCTGACACCCATCCTCATTCAATTCCACTTTCTTGTTCACATTTACACTTCCCACACAACAATGGTGCCAAAAAAATATTTGAAAGTTTTCTTTTGCAAAGAGAGTGGTAGACGGTTGGAACAAGTTAAGTGAGAAGGTGGTGGCCAAAACCGTCAGTAGTTTCTAAGCATTATACTATGACACAGTACAGTACTGGGAAGACAGGACACCATGAGCGTAGCTCTCATCCTGTACCTACACTTAAGTAATTACACCTAGGTAATTACACACATACAGTGCCCGTATCTCAAGAAGCACATAAATAAACTGGAACAGGTGCAAAGTAGGTGCAAAGCATGCTACAAAATGGCTTCAGACCAGAAAAACAAGAGTTACGATGAGAGGCTAGAGTTATTAAATATGCCATAGCTAGAAGATAGAAGAAAATGAGATGATATGATCACCATTTACAAAATATCATAAATATATGAATATGTTTGGGTGGATGTAAATAGGAGCTGCTACTTATGGCCAATAGGCCTTCTGCAGCTTCCTTGATTCTGATGTTCTTAACATTAACAGGAATTTACTAAATTGACAAAGAGGAATTCCTGAAACCAGCAACCTCAAGGACATGAGGTCATAGATTCAAGCTAAGGAAACAAAGGTACCAAAAAAAAATATTAGAAAGTTTTCTTTTGCAAACAGTGGTAGACAGTTGGAACAAGATAAGTGAGAAAGCAGTGGAGCCCAAAACCGTCAGTATGTAGTTTCAAAGTAATATATATAACAAAGAGTGTTGGAAAGACAGGACACCACGAGGTAGCTCTCATCTTGTAACTACATGTAGGTAATTACACTTAGATAATTACACGCACACATATATTTGTACAGTTGCGAGGCGAGACCAAAGAGTCAAAGCTCAACCCCTCAAGCACAATTAGGTAAGTACACACCCAACCAATTCATAGTTTCTATGCGGGTGCAATTCTAGTCACTACTCACACAAGCATAATTTCCATCCCTACTATATTGCTTCTGTCAAATTTCCAAAATTAGATTCATATAACATTTGCATGCCCATTATAGCAGCAACATACATAATAAATAGTGTGGCAAAATGATACATATTAATAAATCAATCTCTTTGTAAGAAAAATGACATACAGTATAGTGTTGGTGTACATATACAGTACTTACTCATACATTCCCTTTCATTCCAATATGAATGAACACAAGTGTTTAAACACATGTATATGCACATATATAAATGTACCGTATATTTTATCATTAAAAGAACTTCTTCATTACTCTGCATGTGAAGCAAATTATAACACTATGACTAATTTGGCCAGGATGCTTCCTTCGTAAAAGCTTTTGGCAAATATATAACATTATTTTGTGAAATGCTTTCTACAGAAACTAAATTACTGTTTGAAGATCATATGTTATCCACAACCCACAAAATAAATACTTTCTACATACATGTACTTTCTAAAACAAATCTAACAAAAATCTAAACACACGTTTTCTGAACATGAATTTTCCACATGATATGAATTAAAATCTAGACAGGATAAGCTAGCAAGACAAACATAACCCAATTAGCCATGCAAAATGAAGTGCAGTTACCCATGCCAAGTGAAACAAGCAGTCTGTATCCATACACTTAGTGGTGGAAACAGGGAATATTGGTATACTGTAATAATTAATCCTTTCAGTATTATTAATGTGTTATTGTGGAAAACAAAAAGTTATGATACCCCAAAACTCCATAGTATCTTTTTATCTGAATTGGTAGTTTTATTAAGAAAAGGGGCACAGGCCAGTTGACGACATGTTTGTGACAAGATTTAAGAATGGAGCAGTCTTTAAAATCAACTAAATCTGATGGAGATAATCAAATCCATTAAAGGAATTCTGAAGTTTAGGTACTGTATGTGGAAATACAATATGACACCAACATATTGAATTTGAGATTTGTTTCAGTCTGCATAGGAATGGTTGCAGAAGACAATATGGGACATATGATCATAGAAATAGTAGCATGTGACAATATGCCATATTGTATGTGGACATAGAAATGGTAGTGAACAATATGCCATGTAGGATCAAAGAAATGGTAGCAGTGGACAACAAGCTACACATGGTCATAATTCTGCAATAACTCATCTTATACTTTTAGTACTGTTCACAGTCCATGCAATACAGTTCTATTCCATGGAACCAGCTCGACAACTCCTTGAGAACAGGCCAGCCTGCCTTTACCTCCCAAGTTAATGAAAACATTCTTAATGCTCTCCTTCCCTGCCTGGGCTTGTATGTGCTTAACAATATATTCATTTTGATTGTTTAGCCGTTGTCTGGTAATTGTGCAAGAAGCTAAATACTTTTTACTGCTAAGTTCTCTTTTATTCCAATACTCTTATTGGGATACCAATTGCAATATTTATTGAAATACCTACTGCGGGTAGGCAGTAGGAACCGCCTACCCGCCAAAGCTGTAACTGCCAAAACTGTGTTGAGTTTTTAAAAATACCTGGAAAAGATCATCAAGGCAAATAGGGCGGCCCTTCAATAAGCCGCTGGCTTCCTGTCCTCGTCGAGTTCACTAGGGTTAGTGGTCCTCATGTAAATCAGGTAAATCTTTCCCTTACAAGTACTGTATACATATTGAGAAAGTTCAACACCAG